AGAACCATTAATGCCAACTCCCATAACAATAATCATAAAAGCCACGTCTCAGAGCTCATCGCGTGGCCACTAAAGCGATGCCTCTGGCAGCCCCCCCCCCCGTCTAGCAGCAATACCTGGGGGGGCAATCGAAAAGTCTCTGCTTATTCCAGCTGATGGCCAATCTCTCTCTATTTAAGCCTCTCAGACAGCTAATCTAATCAATATTGCAAGGAGGGCTGCATTAGCAGGGAGCAGGCTGGCTGCGCTGATGGAGCGGCAGATGGGGGGGACAGGACCCCCCCGACCCACCTGAGGAAGCGGTTGAGGTCGCCGTGCTTCATGTACTCGAAGACCATGATGAGGGGTTCGCCCTCGGTGCAGACGCCGTAAAACTTGACGATGTGTTCGTGCTGCAGCACCGTCAGCAGCTCGGCTTCACGTTGGAAATCCAAGCGGGTGCTTTCCGTCACCTCCTTCAGCGCCTGCGGGCACACGGCGTCAGCCCGGCATCGATCCCCCCCCGCCCGGGACACCCCAGCCCACCATCGTGTCCCCCCCTCCTCACCTTCACGGCCACCAGCATCTTCTCCTGCTCCGGGAGGAGGTTGTAGCACTCGGCCAAGAAAACCTTCCCGAAGGCGCCTTCGCCCAGCTCCCACTTCAGCACGATGTCCCGTCGCTGCACGTGGTGCACGCCTGGGGGGACCCCCACCCATCAGTGGGACGGGGATGGGGGCATGGGAGGGTGCTCGGGGACCGCGGTTGTGTGTGTGCCCCCCCAGCCCTTACAGGCATCGCAGAAATACTGGGGGTTCTCGATGAAGTTGCTCTTCAGCCCCTCCAGCTTGCTCTCGGCCGAGGAGAGGGGGCTGCTGCCCAGGTTCATGAAGTGCAGGGACATGGCCAGGTCGTCCTCCTGGGCCAGCACCGCCGAGCCTTGCGGGGACAAGGACAAGGCCATCGGGGGGGGTCCCGCGGCCCTCCCCAGCCGCTGCGGCCAGCGCCAGGCTCTGCCGAGCATCCCCCCGCCCCGGCGGGCCCCCGGGGGCCAGGCAGCCCGATCAAACCCATTTAGAGGCTGAATCCATTCCAGGAGTGAATTAGCAGCTGCTGCCCGCGCTGCCGGGGGGAACCGGCACCCCTCCGCGGTCCCCATCCCTGCAGGGATGTCACCCAACAGCCGGGTCCCAACCCGGGTACCCGGCACAGCCCCGGCCGCCCCGCGGATGCGGGAACTGGGGTGTCCCTGTGTCGCGGCTCGAATCCCCCGTGGCGCCGGGCGAGGCGGGGGGACTCACGGTTAATGCCGAACTTGGACCGGCGCCCGCACTTGTTGAGCACGATGAGCATGACGGAGAGGAAGAGGGTGGCGACCCCAGCCAGCGCCACGGCCACCGAGACCTGGTGACAGCAGGGATGGGGGCTCGGGTTGGGGTCCCGCCAGCTCCCTTCTCCCAGCCCTCGGGGGGCTGAGATGGCCACGAGTCCCAGGAGCTGCCGCAGGGGAAACTGAGGCACCGGGACTCTGCTATTCATCCCTGTCATATGGCCCCATCCCACGTGGCTCTGGTTTGGCTGTCCCCTAAGGATTTGTCCCACCCTCCCACGGGTGTCCTGGTCCCCCCAGCCCAAACCACGGAGCATCCCCTCACCCCGAACGTGTGCTCGTCCGTCGTCTCCACGGGCCCCTCCAGCGAGCTGTTCCTGGTGCCTGGGGCAGGAGAAGGGCGCAGGGTGAGCGTGGGGTGGGGGGTCCCCATCCCCTGGGGTGGTCCCGGCAAGTGGGGGGGGTCCCCAGGACGGCAACACTCCCGCAATGACTCTGCACCCTCAGCGCAGGGTGGGGGGACCCCAGGATTGGCTCTGGGGAGGGGGATCCATGGTTTGGGGGGGCCTGGGGCAGGGGGCTGTGCCCGCTGCGGTGGGGACCCCGTGGGGAGCAGCGTGCCCAGTCACTCACCCAGTGGAGACAGAGACACTGGTGCAGCCCAAAGGGAGAGAGAAAGGAGAAACACTCGTTATTCCCCAGGCGAGAGCACCCCGTCCTTCCCCGCTCCCAGCCCTGGGGAAACTGAGGCACATTGGGGCTTGCTCGGAGCCAGCGGCCAGAGCCAGACACAACCCGCTGGCACACCAACGCAAGGAGAGATGCGGCGCATTGTCGCCGCCAAAAACGGTGTTTGCCAGCACCTACCAGGGATGGGCTCCTCGGGGCTGAAGCTGAAGGGGTTTTCCATGAAACGCCCCTGGACGCTGCGGGCGGCGAAGCCCAGGGGGTTACGGACCAGGAGGGTGTAGTTGCCGTTGTTGACGTGCGTGGGACGGTTGAGCTGGAGGCAGCCGTGGAGGACGGTGGAGTTGTGCTCGTATTCCACGATGCGGGTGTGGATGTAGGGACCCTCGGTCAAGGCCGTGCCGTTGAAAAGCCAGCGGATGCTGGGGACCGGATTGCCGTCCACCGAGAAGGGGATGCACCAGAAGTGCTGGGGAATGGCTTCGTGCAGGAGCAGGATCACTGGGGGGACTGGGGGAGACAGAGCCGGGTGGATCCCTGAGCCGGCCCCCTCGCCCGGACCCCCACGCCAGCCCCCTCCGGGCTGCTCACAGGTGACGTTCAGCATCACGCTGTCCTCCGCCAGCCCCGCCGCGTTCTCCGCCCGGCACGTCAGGTCTTTGTGGTTGAGGTTGGACGAGACGTTGATGATCTCCAGGACGATCTCCCAGTCCGAGAGCTGCGGGGAGCACCAGGACAGGGTGAGCCCCCCCAGAGCCGTGGAGCTCCCGCATCCCCCCACGGCCACCGCACCAGCTGCGGCGGGGACGGTGCTGCCAGGAAGGTCCCTGGCCGTGCCCCGGCGAGGCTGAGCTTGCCTTGGTGATGACGGGCAGCTCGGGTCCCACCTCGGGGATCACCCATTCCCCGGTGGCCGGCGGCTCGGCGGCGATGCGGCAGGTGAGGTTGACGCTGTCCCCTTGGCGCAGCACCGCCTCGGGGTGCTCGATGCGGACGGTCGGGGGCTCTGCGAGGAGAGGCCGGGGGTGAGCGGGGCCACGTCCCCTCCCGCGTCCCACGCTCTGGGGGACAAACCCAGCACCCAAACCCAGCGGGTCCCCGGCCACGTACCGCAGGCGCGGAGGGGCTGGCTGCCCAAGGGGACCAGCACGCTGCCCTCCCAGCAGCCCAGTGACTGGTTCCCCAGCTCGGCCCGGCTCCCGTTCTGCCAGAGCTGCAGCCAGCGGAGGCCGCAGGAACAGTTGAAGGGATTTCCCACCAGGATGCTGAGATGGGGCAGGGAAGAGGACAAGGGGTCAAACAGGCTGCGGTGGCCCCGGCTCTGGGTCATACACGGGTGTATTCGTCCCCGGCGGGGTCAGCCAAGGCTGGATGCCGGCATCCCCGGCCCCAGCGGCACCGATCCTGCGTTGAGTGCTGCTGGTGCCCCCACATGCACCCAGGGCCACCCCATCCCCACGCCCGTGGCTGTCAGAGCCGCCATCTCGCTGCGTCCCCAGCCCCGTCCCTGCCTCAGCGTCACCCCGGGGGTGCATCCCCGCTGCGGGATGCTCCGCACCCGCCTTCCCCCCATCATCACTCACAGCTCCTGCAGGGGCAGATGCTGGAAGGTCTTCCAGGAAAGGCTGTGCAGGGCGTTGGAGGAGAGATTCCTGCCGGGACAGACCCTGTCAGCCGCCCCCTCCCACCGCAGACCCCCGTCCCGCATCCCCCCACCCTTGCAGAGGGTCTGGCCGGGGCGCGGAGCAGCACCGCGGCCACCGCTGTCACGCCGTGACCAAGCAAACCCAGGGTGCCACCAGTCTTCAGGCACCTCCCTGCAAGCGGGGAGCCCCACGCACCCCAGGACAGGGTCCCCCCCAGCTCGCTGGGGTCCCCTCCCGTGCCGGGGCAGCACGGAGCTCCCGGGGGGGCCAGCAGCTGCCTGCACTCCTGCCCCCCCGATCGATGGTTTCCCACTCAGCGGCACAGCTCCACGCGGCCCCCCCCGGCCCGGCTGATGCGCCGACGGGCAGCGGGACACCATCGATCCCGCACGGGGACCAGCCACCCTGTCCCGGGCCCAGCGCCCGCGGGGATGGGGTGCCAAGCCCCAAAACTGGGGGGGGGGGATACTCACACGTGGCTCAGCCTGGGGGTGTCCAGGAAGGCATCGGCAGAGACGTGCTGCAGCCCCGACCCCGAGATGGTGCTGGGGGAGAGAAGGGCTGAGCACCCGCACTGGGGACCCCGAATCCACATCCTGGGAGCGCCCCCCTTCGCCTCCCCGCAGCGGGATCAAGCGCTGGGGATCCCCCATCCACCAGCCCCCCCCCCGTTTCCCTGTGCAGGGACCCCACCCCGGGGTGCTCACAGGCTCCTGAGGTCCCGCAGCGTCCTGGTGTCAGCCCGGGTCAAGGTCGTCAGCGTCTGCTGGTTCTCGATGACGCTGGAAGGCAAACGAGGGGGGATCGGGGGAGTAGCCCCAGGACCCCCGTGCCCGGGGGGCGAGGGGAGTGGGGGGCCACGGCTCTCCCCCTCCCCAGGCTGTGCCTGCGCTGCCCCGCGCCAGCCCGCGGCTGGGGACGGGGACAGGGACGGAGCTGCGCTGCCCCACTGTGCCTCAGTTTCCCCCGGGCAGACAGGGATGAGCTGGGAAGGGGGGGCCGGGACGGCGGCAGGCGATCCTGCCGGTGCTGAGTCTCCGGCTGCCGCTTGGAGCCTGCGGTCTCACCCAGAGAGCGAGTTTGCTGGGTCTCAGCCCCACTCCCCCGTGGGTGCCCACCTTACCTCGCACCCCACGGTGTCCTGCGATGTGACGGGGGGCACCCACTGTCCCCCCCTCCCCTTTTCCCAAGGCAGGGGGTGCAGGAAAGCCCCTCTGGGAGCGGGTGTGGGGTTTTCCCACCCGCCCCACCCCAGGGGCTGCTCCTGCAAACCCCAAATTGTCTGGGGTTACTTGGGGATTCAGACCCACACCGAAGGGGTTTTGGTCCTGCTGACCCCCGAGGCAGGGTCCCTGCCGCCACCCCCATGGACGAGGGTGTGGGGCTGGGAGGGAGGAGGGAGGCTGGGGCAGGGGGACGGCCGGGGGCCTCTCGGCCCCCCCCCCCCCCCCCCCCCCCCCGCCAGCCAGCGAACAAAGAGCTGGCAGCGCCCCGCGGCGCAGCGTCCCCCGGCACCTGGGGAAACTGAGGCACGGAGACGTGCCGCAGCCAGCCCCCGGCAATGCGGCACGGTCAGGGCTGCGGCAGGGGGAGGACCCAGGAGTCCGGGCACCCCCGTATCACCCAGCACCCCATACCCCCGCAGCACCCTCCTCTCCACGCCACGTCCTGGAGCAGGGGGATGAGCGAGAGCAGAGGAGATCCCCCAAACCAGCAAATTCGGGGTGCCCCCCCTCAGCATCCCAACCCGCAGGCCCCAGGGCAGGGTGACAGCCCTGCGGGGTGGGGGGACACGAGGCTCGGTCCCTCCCTGCCTGGGGCCCCCACTGCACCCTCAGCCCTTCGCTCCCACTGGCATCGCTGCGGGAGAGGGCGAGGAGCTGCCCCCAGCCCCTCACTCGCTCCCCAGGGGGATGCAGGAGGGACCCCCCCCATCTTTGCAGCCCCCAACGCCTCCCGCTCCCCACAGCGATCCCAGCCCCGGAGCAGATCCAGGCCCACCGCCGCGGTCTCAGCCCCGTAGCGCTCCCTGCTCCATCACCGCCCCAGCCCAGCCCCATCGCCCCGTCCCAAGCTCCGTCAGCCCCAGCCCCATCGCCTGCATCATCATCATCCCCAGCCCCATCACGCTGTCGTCCCCCAGCTCCATCACCCCCAGCCCCATC